CTGCAATGTATTCGATGTTCGAAATACGCAGAGCTGTGTGTGTGTGTACCATCCAAGATGGCTGCCATAGATTCAGCCAATCAAATTTCGCCTGAGCACTATCATTTTCAATGGCGCCCTCAATTTACACAGAAAGTTCAGTACAGCTAGTTACCCGTATTTTGAAACTCGAGCGTTGCAGTGTATGGGTGTAATGTACACGATTTTAGTTCTTTTTAATATTTGAATAAGATGCTCTACTTGGCCTCTTTTTGGCTACGACAGTTTAATAATTTGTCATTATCAATACTAATTACCATTAATGAAATAATATTCAGTCAGAGGGCTTATTTATGGTATTAATATGTATACTAAGCCTAAAGGTGGCGCTTTCCTACGGCAGCCATCTTGGATGGTACACATACACAACTCTGCATTGCTCCGCCATCTTGTCAGCACTCTAGTTGTTTAATAGCTCTATGGGCCAATCAAATTTCGCCTTAGCGCCATCGTTTGCAATTGCGCCCTCAATTTACACAGAAAGTTCAGTACATCTAGTTACCCGTATGTTTGAAACTGGAGCGTGGCGATGTATGGGTGTAATGTACACGATTTTAATTTTCATTCCTTGGTACTTAATTTTTGAATGAGATGCTCCACTTGGCCTCGTTTTGGCTACGATAGTTTAATAATTTGTTAAATTACCATTACTCATTATCAATAATGAAATAATAGTCAGTCAGAGGGCTAATTTATGGTAATAATATGTATACTAAGCCTGAAGGTGGCGCTTTACTACGACGGCCATCTTGGATGGTACACATACATAACTCTGCATTGCTCCGCCATCTTGTCAGCACTCTAGTTATTTAATAGCTCTATGATCTTAATACATTGTCTGGGTTTTATTTTTGTTGTGCCAATAATACGAAAGCTACATGGATGAAAATCACATATGACATATTTAAATATATAAGCAATCGACAACAAAAATTAAAAAGTGGAGAAACTTTATTTTTTCTATTTTCATTCAATTTTTAAACTCATCGCATCGGATGTTGGCATGAGCAAGCCAGGATGGATGCTAAACCTAGACGACTAGTGGTTATTGCTGCGAAGCAGCAATTAATATTCTTGACAGCAATTTGACCTCTGAAAGGTCATTGTTTGTCAAAAAACAAGGGCCTAAGACGACTGAAAAGTGGAGTTTCCTTCTTTCGTTCTGCCGGGTAAAATCAATCAATTTAGGCGACGTTTGTAGTCTAACCTACTCGTACCAACGTCCCCATGTCGCGCAAGCCTTATCCTACTCTAGGCCCGGACTAGCTAGGATGGTATAGGCCTAGCCTTGAAGGGACGAAGGTCCCAATGAAAAACAACGTCACTCTTTGATACCTAACATTGTCTATTTAACACCACAATAATTCAATATAAGCCTATAGTTGTTTTTTGAATTGTACTCCACAAATCTCAGCCGATACCTCGCACAACTGGCTAACGTCTCTATCTATTGTCGTGACGTCATGGCTCACTGGCTCACAATTGTATGTCTCGCACTTGTGTGATCAAATAACACGCTGGCTCGCACTTTGGCAACACTCTTTGGCAGTCAACTCGCCCCTAGCAAATCCACCCTTGGAAACTTGCCCCATAAAAAAATGTACACTTCCTAGACCATGCAGTCTTCAAAATAAAAATTGTAACCTTTGGTAATCAACTACATTTTCCACATACATACAAATTTTTGAAACATATTTTTAAAAAAACCTAAACCATAATTCACCACGATAGACACTTTTTGACAAAAATGACAAAGTACGATTTTGTTACCCAATGAGAAGTGTTCTAATATAGACAATGGGTCGTGTCTCATATTATTTGTTATATTTTCATTATTCATTATTTTCACTTGATTCGCATAAATAATTTTGTTCGAAGAACATTTATATGCAGTTGTACTTCGCAGCACTTCACTTGCAATTTGCAATTTCTAGTTTTTAGGTGCAACGCATGTAATGGTAGTGAAGATGACGTGCGTGCGTTTACCTAGTTGCTGCAAAGCAGCCAATTCATATTCTTGACAGCAATTTGACCTCTGAAAGGTCATTGTTTGTCAAAAACCAAGGGCCTAAGACGACTGAAAAGCGGAGTTTCCTTCTTTCGTTCTGCCGGGTAAAATTACAATAATTCATTATTAGACCTATAGTTGTTTTTTGAATTGTAATCCACAAATCTCAGCCGATACCTCGCACAATGAGAGTATATAACCTCTCGTATCTATTGTCGTGACTTCATGGCTCGCTGGCTCACACTTGTGATGTCTCGCACTTGTGATCAAATAACACGCTGGCTCGCACTTTGGCAGTCAACTCACGCCTAGAAAACCCGCCCTTGGAAAC